TCCAGAATCGGTCTCACCAATGCTGTATATGGAGGCAAAATCACCTTCCTACTACTCACTACTTCTCTGTTTATACATCCAAGGATTGCATTAGCCCTTTCTACCAGGCTACTGTCCCTCATTCCATAGGTATGGCCTGCACTCATTGTTCCTATATGTCTGAACACTCCGTTTTGTTTGAAAGGGCACCCAGTTTACCTAAAATATTATGTAAAATTGTGAAGGAACTTGTAACAATTCTATGTGATGCAAGTGAGTGAGCATTGGGAGCAATTTTATTACAAGATGATCAGCCTGGAGCATTTGTATAGTGGGAAATCAAGCCTACCTTTTGATGGTTGATGAGTATTTGGAACTGGGAAATAAATTCCCTTATATACACAACAGCAGCAGCCTCTGTCACTGAATGCTGCAAAGCTCAGTTTGCCTGGCATGGAATTTCAGGACTCTTGTAATAGATAATGGACCTCAGTTTGCATGTTGGGAATTTGAACATTTCCCATCCTCTCTCTATCACAGCCAGTCTAATGGCAAAGCAGAAACATCTGTCAAGATTGCCAAGAAACTACTAGAAAAGACAAACTGTGATAGTGAAGATCCGTGAAAGCTCTACTGGGCTGGAAAAATACAGCAACAGAAAGCATGGGTGCATGGGCAGCAGCCCATTATAGCATCTCATATCGTGCAGACCCTGGACTCCACTGCTCACAGCAAATAAGCTTTTGAAGCCAGTGGTGGAAAAGGTGACAGACCAAGTTAAAGAGCAGTGACAACAAGCCAAATACTACTATAGCTAAAAGACAAAGCGCTTCCTGAGCTCCAGATACGACAGCTAGTCGGAGTATGAGGAGTTCCTCATGAGAGAGACAAGAGGTGGAGGGGCTGGGATATGTATGGAAAGAGAAGCAAACATCATACATGATGATAGTATAAGAACAATTCTACCATTGCAGCTGTTGTTTCCTGAGATCAGCCAAGGAGCAGTTGATCTCTCTGAATGACTTAAGTGAGTCCACATGGATGCAGCTACTAGCAACCCTCATGACTTGTCATTATGGTGATGCCAGAAAATCTAGCAGCACAGAATTTTCCTGCAGACAAACAGAAAGAGAGGGAAAGAGACTCAAAATATCATCACTTAGAATGGAAGAGCAATAAAGTTGCCTAATAAATTCAAAAACGAATTTAAACGATTGTTTCGTTTATGGGAAGAGATATGTTACAAGTGTGCTATATGTCTGTATATCTGGAAACCGTTAATAAAAATGTGCCAGTAGATGATGCTTAAAAATCTGTACTATTGTTTAGGGGTTTTATAGGACCAAAAAAGGTTATTGTTGTTATGCACTGCAAACAAACATTTATTTGGCCAGAGAGCAGAAGAGATTGACCCTATAGCCTGGTGGTTCAGGCACTCACCTGGGCTGTGAAAGACTCTCTGCTTCTCTGATTATTTATTCAGTTATACAAAGTGGAACAGCTCCAATAGGAGAGATTGAGCGAGGCCACCCCCAGATATTCCATAGCCTACTGGCTAAGGTACTCATCTAGGATATGGGAGGCCCAAATTCAGAAGACTTGAAAACAGGTCTCCCACAGCCCAGGTGAGAGCCCTGACTACTGGACTATTGACTATAATAGGGTAGAGTGGTCCCTCTCTCGCATTTTTCCTGAGAAAGGGTTGATCTGATCTAACTTAGGTGCCTAATTCCAGGGAAGGGCTCACAGCTGTGAATTCTGAGAAGAGATAGACGCCTCCCTCTGGCCTAGAGTTAGGTGCCCCTCTCCTTGAGATTTCCTCCTAGCTAGCTTAGGCTGCTCCTTACTCCATATGCTGGCTTCTATGAATGCCATTCATAGGTGCCTAATTCTTCACATGTGTTATATAGAGAGCCTAGGTGCCTAACTCAGGGTTACATCAACATGGCTACAACAACACTGCATAACTCAGCATTGTGAATTCTACTAAGAGTTACTTATTGGAAAACCCTGGTTTGGAGATTGTTCTAGAGCAGGGATTGGCAACATTTGGCACGTGGCTCGCCAGGGTAAGCACCCTGGCGTGCCAGGCCAGTTTGTTTACCTGCCGCGTCCGCAGGTTCGGTCGATTGCAGCTTCCACTGGCCGTGGTTCCCCATCCCAGGCCAATGGGGGCAGTGGGAAGTGGTGGCCAGCACATCCCTCAGCCCGCGCTGCTTCCCGCCGCCCCCGTTGGCCTGGAACAGCGAACCATGAACCTGCGGACGCGGCAAGTGTATGTGTTCAAAAGGGTTGAGCTGAAATTCCATCTCTGTTTTACTTCCCTTTCTTGCTTGGAGTCTTCTGTTTGCATATTGTTTAGTTTTATTCTGCATTGGATGGACTGCATTGGATTGGTTTAATGTCATGTTTCCCACCAATTTAATGTTCAGTCCTAGATGTCAGATTGAGTCAAAAGCTTTTTAAAGCCTATGAAGAGCCCAAATCTTTCTCCCTGTTTTTTGTCTTTTACATACTTGTTAATCACATCTGTGGAAAATGAGAGAGATATCTGGACTATCTCTGTTTACCTGCATATATTATTCTATCTGACTACAGGGAGTTAAATCAAAAGGGGCTGTTAGGAAGAACAAGCAGGAAACAAGACAATGGACAGAGATAAGACACCTCTGGGTAAGCAAATTCAAGGGAATTAAGAGAACAATGGCTGGGCCACTAATTGGGAAGATGCTATTTCCAGCCACCAGTCAAAATTACCATAGCTGATTTGACAAGGCTGAAGGCCTAAGGTCAAAAGGAGACTAGACAGTTAACTCTCTAGAGTGGGAGGGGGAAGTTCAGCCATCAGGGAATTGTTTGCAGAGAGTAGAGGGACTGAGACACAGGCCCAGCAGGATGGGTCTGAGGCAGCTGGGCTTGACTAAGCTTGAGGGAAATTATAAACTTTAGGCAAGAGCCAGGTCTGTATGCCTTTGGTTGTTTTAACTCTCTTCTCTGGTTGCAATGTACCTTTGGGTGAATAAACAAGGCATTTGTTTTGAAGAAACTGTTTTGAGTCACTTCAGTCTGCTGCTGGTCACAAGCCCAGAAGGTATCAAGTATCAGTTGCATCCGAAGAAGTGAGGTTTTTACCCACAAAAGCTTATGCCCAAATAAATCTGTTAGTCTTTAAGGTGCCACCAGAAGCCCAGAAGGATGTTTCTTCCAAGTACCAAATACAGCTAGGCCTGTTAAGATATCACAGGTGGTAAACAGGGGCTGCAACCAGACATCAGTCTAAAAGAGGTAAAATGGCGGAGTTCTACACAGACAGGGATGAAGGCAGTAAAAACTGTCACGTGAGAGGCACACTCAAGAGGTACTGGAAAGGCGTGTAAGGCACTGCTCTCCTTGTAACCATGATAGCACCTGTAGGGTAATAATGTGGCCTATAGTTCATTTCTCAAGGAAAAACAGTTTGGCATGCCTGAACTATGTTGTGACTGGTCAGGTAATGCATTATTCTGTTGCTGAAGATACTACAGAATAGCTAGCCAACTGTTGCTGCTCAAACAGAGCCCTTTATATTTGTTTAGGTTGAGGGATCTCCGCTTTTGTATTCAGGTAGCTTGTCCATTGACCATATCTCAGGGAAGTGTCCAGACTGGATGGTTAGATTAATTAACTAATGAACCCGGAAAGGTTGAGGCAAATTGTTTTAATGTGTTTTCAGGTGTTTGATACCTTTGTATAGGTCCCAGAAGTGTTCTGTCCAGATTCTACTATTCTGAATATATGGGTTTTTTTTCTTTAGTTGCCTTAAATTTTTTCCAGATTTGCCAGAAGCATTTGGTGTCCATCATATCTTCAGTCTGTGTGAATTTTTCCATCAGGTGCTCCAGTTTTTTTGCTGGAGCACTGATTTGTTGTACATCAGTGAGCTGTGGCAAGCTGTGCTTAGGTCAGTGACATGTACCTCTCTGTGTTTTAAGTTGGAGAGTTTCTCACTTTATTCCTGAGTATATGGCAGCTTCTGTGAAATCATTTTGCTTTCTGTTGGAGTGGCAGTCCTGTTTTGTGTGGTTAGGATTGTGTGGTTGTGTGATTAGGGATGCTGTGCTGATCTGGTAAAGACTCTGAGAGAGTCTTTTGTGGCAATGTTAATGTCATTTGCTATTTGGCCAGAGTGTTTGTTTGATGTGCATTCATTAGGTTTTTGAAGTTTTCAGGGTGGTCTCATGTTTTTCTTTTGAATTTTGTCTCCAGATCTCTTTCCTGGGTTATCTATAGAGGGTTTATAGTAGGTGGTTGTCTGCTGTTATTAAGAAGGATTTGTTTAGATATAGGACCAGTTCACTGTGGTCTGGTAACACTCTCATGCACATACACATACTGTGAGTGCCTCACCCACACCTTTGGAGAGCTCATTATACAGCTGCACAACCACAACCTTGTGCACATACCTGGAGAGTTTCTTGCACCTATACTCTTGTACATGCATGGCTGAGGCCTTCTCATGCCCACAAAAATAGCCTTATGAGTGTGCACAGTGAGTTCCTCACACACCCACTCTTGGGCCCATGCCTACTGAGCTCCTCACAAACAATATCTATATATATACACACACACACACACACACACAATTATGTGCACACTAAAAATGCATGAAACTTCCTTGTCCAGTGCACTGTTGTGTTGTGTGTCACCACAGCTGACAATAAGCAGTTCTCCAAGATCTAATTCCTATATCTTCAAATAAACAAAACTAGCAAGAACTGCAGTAGTGCCACCTGATAACTCTCAGTAATGCTATTCATTGTACAAATTCCCCTTCACATAAATAAATATACACTAATACACATACATATTACACATACACATACAAACACTGCACACATGCCTTCCACTCATACAAATACACAGAACTTCTGGACTATGAGCCAGTGCAGCACTCTCCGCTCATCCCTTAAAGAACCAGCAGGAAACTACAGATCCCAGATACTGACTTGCTGTTCCTTTCTCTGTTTCTTACTCTGCATTAGCCTCTTAGCTCTGGAGAGGGATGAGGCTCTGGTGATTCTCTGCTATGCAATGCTGGAGGGGATCTGCCTGTCATCAGCCATTACCCAGGCTTGGAAGCGAATGGAGGCAAGAACCTTTGGATTTGGGGATTCGGTAAGAATCACTATTTAGCCTCTAAAAAAAGAAGAACAGGAGGACTTGTGGCACCTTAGAGACTAACAAATTTATTAGAGCATAAGCTTTCGTGGACTACAGCCCACTTCCTCGGATGCATATAGAATGGAACATATATTGAGGAGATATATATGCACCCATACAGAGCGCATAAACAGGTGGGAGTTGTCTTACCACCTCTGAGAGGCCAATTAATTAAGAGAAAAAAGACTAGTGAAGTGAGAAGCATCCTGCCCCAGTGTAGGGAGACAGTTAGAAACCGAATATGGG